CCGGAACCTCCCCTGGTGCAGCTTAAGGCCATTTCCCCTTGTTCGATCACTTGTTACTAGGCAGAACAGACCGACAGCCGACTCGCAACAACCTCCTTTCAGGTAGTTAGAGACAGCGATAAGGTCTCCCCTCACCCTCCACTTCTCCAGGCTGAACAACCCCAGTTCCCTCAGCCGCTCCTCACCAGACCTGTTCTCCAGGCCCTTCAGCAGCTTCGTTGCCCTTCTCTGGACACGTTCCAGCACCTCAATGTCCTTCTTGCAATGAGGGGCCCAAACCTGCACACAGCATTCGAGGGGCAGCCTCACCAGTGCTGAGTACAGGGGCACGATCACCTCCCTGCTCCTGCTGGCCACACTATTTCTGTATTTCTGTATTTGTATGTTTACTAAGGACAAGAGACCTCTCAATTACCCACCTTTGATGCTGGAGCTATCCTCCGTTTTGGTGGTTTTATCTGTTTCTGCTGGGTTTGATGGGCAGTCACTGCCTGATTATCCATAGATATAGTGGGGAGCTGTAGCATTTTGCTAACAGCTGTAGAGGTGTCTACTGGTGATGGCTCTCGGAGTTTTATCTGGGAGGAGAAGGACTCCAGCCCAGGAGGAGGAACATGGACTGCCTGCGTTTGTTGTTGCTGTCGCTGGGTCAACTGGCTCAGAACCGGGGATGGTTCGGGCTGGGATTTAAAGTCTGGTCAGTGTTGGGAAAAAAAAAAATCAAAATTAAAACATTGCACTTCGCTCTTTGTGCTTCTACTCTTTATGAATGAATCTGGGTGACTTGACATACTCGACAGCTATGGTTCTATAGCATGCGTAAGTCTCTTCAGACATCACACAAGTTTCACACTGAACTTTAACACAGCAGTAGTAAGGCAAACATTTGATATTTTCTACTTTAAATAAGCAGTTATGGGCTTTATTTAGCTTTCCTCAAAAATACGAAAACAAATCTATCTATTACAGTTACACAGTATTATCACACATTAGTCCTCAAAAACTGTAACAAATTAATTCAATCAAATGCTGCAAGTTTTACTGCAAATAACTGTGCAGATAAAATCTGATTACTTCCAAGGGATTTGGAGTTGCCATTTACAGCTATTATGACTTAAGATTTCCTGTCTCTACAAAGCAGGACACTTTCAACACAAACAGAAAGTCATCTACCATCTTAATCTGTCTGAAAGTCAAGAGATGCTGGACACTGGTAGGTTTTTTCCCAAGTCTTCCCCTTTCACATTTTTCAGATGCTGAAAGCCATGCAGTGGTTCAGAGCACTGGTCAACAATCATAAGAGATCCACAGCATTTAAAATGTGAAAGTTTTTTAATTCAGTTGGTAAAGTGCATTATAAAGCAACCTAAAATGTACGTAAACGTTTTTTTCAGATTTACCCTGCATAAGGGATTATAAATGCTACCAGACTGTCTGCTTATCTACTTGGAAACATATACACATACATATGAGACAGATACAAGAGCTATCACTCTTCACAGTGAGAACACTGCTAGGAACTACACTGCAAAAAAACAAGTTTGTGTCATTTGCGCTGTTTCTACTGATTTTACTCAACTAAATGAAAAACCCATACAATTATGAATAGACAAAACAGGTAGCCTGCATCGTTCTCAGCACACTACAGAAAGAACACTGAGATGTGAGACACATTATGAAAAAATTATATAGTATTCATTCAAAATTCATGTAATGGTTAGAAGAGAAAAATTTGAGGAAAAAAAAAAAGACAAAATATGGTACAACCTACAATGAAAACAGGTATTTTCCAGGACTCGTTGAGAAACAAAATCACATCAAAGTTCCATTTAAATATTCAAGCACATTAAAGCAAAGATGTCACTAATGAAAGCTCAACAGCTTCTAAAGATGCAATGACATTTACAGATAGGCTTAAGACTATCAAAACTTAGTTTGTGATACACTCGTAACGTCTATTACCAGCAAGTAAGTGTAACTCTTCCAATGTGGTAACCTACTATATTACTAGGATTATATTTTTTAGAAAAAGTCTTTCATTAAGGCCATTTCAAGCTGTCACTGGCATTAAGAAATCCTACAGGCTAATAGAGAGAGAAAGAAGGAAAGTGATGTCAAAGCACTTACCAAACTGACTAAGGACTGAGGACTGAGTAATCGGCGGTTTTAGATCCCAGGATGATGTCGTAGTTGTGGTAGTGGTGGTAGAGCTACTACTGTTATGCTGAGAGGTAAACTGACCCAATCCTGGAGATTTCAGCTGGTCCAAGATTTGGGATCCAGTAGAGTTTGCCAATTTAGAGGATCCGAGTTCTCCAAAGCCAGAACAAAGAACTGCAGACTACCAAAAGACAAAAAACGAAAGAGGAAGGAGTGGAGTTAAGTATTTAGTACGTAATTTGAACATAGCCATTGGGTCAATACCTACAGCTGCTATTTGGCAGCAACTAAAACCCTCTTCAGCCCTAGATTACTAACAAATGACCAATGAAAAATTCAGCAGTTGTAGCATATGGTCAGATCCTCTCTGATCATCAGTGATAAAACAATCACTGTGACAGCAACAATACTGATTTACTTGAATCCATGCATCTCAAAATAGCATATATTTACTAATAGTTGAACTGGTTTTCAAAGAATAAATAAAAGTGCCCAATTCCAAGCCCTCACAATTGACTCAGAAATAGGCAGGTTTCCATAAAAAGTAGCCAAATATGTGCTTGGAAATAACACATCACAGTTTTCCTGCACAGAACTCTTCACTATAAACAAGTTATTTCATCCTAAATCAGCATGCAGTAAACACATCCGCTCTCTACTCGAAAATTAATACAAATACTTCATGTAAACCAAGAAATATCTACCTATCAAAACCAGAAAAAAAAGTAATCTTTTTGTGTGTGTATGAATGGAAGGAATGGAATTCTTAATTCCATTCCTTCAGCATTTGCAACCTGAATTTACAAATACTGAAACATCTCATGAAACGACCAGTACTGGAAAAGTTAAGTTTAACCTGAAATATTTACTCATGAAGAATATTAGAAAGTGTAAGATAATTTTACCAGACTTTGAGGAGGATAAGAGTTTACAGCACTGGAGCTGCCGGCTCCTGATGCCAGCTGAGTGCTGTGCTGAGAATTGGTGAAGACCAGAGCTTGGCCAAAGGTCTGCTGCTGGGAAGCCTCAAATGAGTTGCCTTCTGTCTCCTGGGTAGAAGTCACAGGCTTTTGAAGCAGTGTTACCAAATCAATGCTATAAGAAAAAGCAAAGTTTGTTTGGCATAAACATGATGATTAGGCTGCACTGAAACTGAAGAAAGCAATACTAAAGCTGCCATACCAGTAACAGAATTACTACCGATTAACAGCCTTTTCAAATATTGCTTGTCTGCCATACCAAACGTAGAATACAGGTTTTTACCAGAAAGTAATATTCCACTAATTGAAACCTTCCACTACAGTTAGAATATTAATCAACTTTGCACTCTTTTCAAAAATTACCAAATCTGTAACATCATGTATCACATAAATAACCTATATGATTAATATAACAAAGACACTGGAGAGAAGCCATAAAAGATACATTATGTTTAAGTGAATCCTGCCTGCAAGCCCATTATAGACACGGATAACCCACTTTCTCTGTGTATCATGCGGTTCCTTTAAAAAGAGCAGGGGATCAAAGTTCTGCCTCTGGATAGGCTGGTTATCAAGACAGTGAAGTCACAAACACAGTGATAGAGTGAATATGTGATGACATGGAAGTCACAAGAGTAGCAGAAAGCTAAGTTTCTCACATAGTAGGCACATATCCAAAATTACTCTATCACACATACCTGAGCAGGATGAGAAACAGGCATTTTCTGATATTTAGCATGACTTACTAACCCCTAGCACATGTTTAGCATAGGTTTATCCAAGGGAAAGCAAAGCATTTAGACAATAAAAGAAACCTACTCTAAAAATTCTCATTGAAGTTTATCCTAAATATACTGCAGGCTTGGGCTGAAGAGCTGCTTCCAGCACTTTAGTTAGCATAGATTTCTTAAGGCCCAAACATTTCTTAGGGCAAGTTAGAAAAAAAAAAAATAAAGAAAAAACCAAAACACCAGAATTTGAGCTGATAAACTAAAATATTTTCTAACAAAATTCGAGTGACATCCAGTGGAAGAATATTTGCATCACAACAATGCACACACGAGCATATCACCTTTAGGAAGGAAAGGAATATAAACTGTACACCAACCAACACCATGCCTCCTCCAGATCACATCCATGTTGTAATGAAAATTTTGCTGCAGTCTGGAGTGCAGCAGTACAGCTGTGACAGGATGTTTGGGACCATGAGGCCATCTAGTTTTCATAGCTTATGCTATCCAGCTACTGAAGTCTTCATCACACAACTTTAAACTGCTGTCCTGGGACAGGAGGCTAAGGCAGGTAACCAATTCCACAACATCATCAGCAAGGCATTTTGTGAAGACAAAGGCAAGCAAAGAAAGGCAGCAACTGCCATATTTTCGGTTCTCTATCATCAATTAAGGCAATGTTCTGGTTTGGGCTGGGATAGAGTTAGTTTTCTTCCTAGTAGCTGCTATAGTGCTGAGTTTTCGATTTGGTATGAGAATAATGTCGATGACACACTGATGTTCTAGTTGTCGCTCATTAGTGCTTATCCTAAGTTAAGGATTTTTCAGTTTCCCGTGCTCTGCCAGTGAGGAGGTGCACAAGAAGCTGGGAGGGAGCAGGGCTAGGACAGCTAACCCAAATGAGCCAAAAAGATATTCCATACCACAGGAGGTCATGCTCCGTATATAGACTTGGGAGAGTTGACCAGGAGGGGAGGATTGCCACTTGGGCATCAGTCAGTAGGTGGTAAGCAACTGCCTTGTGCATTACTTGTCTTTTCTTAGGTATTATTTCTCTTTCTTTTGTATTTCTTTTCATTACCATTACAGTTATTGTTATTATTGTTGTTGTTGCTATTGTTATTATTATATTTTATTTTAGTCAGTTATTAAACCACTCATCTCAATGCAGGAGTTTTACTTCTTTTTTTTTGATTCTCCTCCCCATCCCACTGGGAGGGAGAAGGAGTGAGCAAATGGCTGCATGGTGCTTAGTGGCTGGCTGGGTTTAAATCATTGACAGGCAAGTAATTGCGATGCTCACCAGGAAATTTACCTTCTTGCCAAGCAAGCTTTTCTGTTAACACACTTGTCCAAGTACTACATTCTGAACCCTTTCTGCATCTACAGGGGCAAGCTTTCCATTTTCTGGACAGCAAAGCCAGAGCTCTCTTTTCAACAGCAGAAAACTTTTCTTCCCAGCTACTTTTGCTCCTGCTTGTAAGTTGTCTTTGAGCAGAAGACAGGGTCTTCTCAGTTGTGCTTGCGGATTTGGTATGTTTGGCTCCACTTCTGTGGTCAGTAATAGGTAACAGAAGAACCCACAAAACCAATGATTTGCAAGCAAGGCTTCTGCAATTGAACATTAGCTTCACCAATCTGACCAGCGCTGCTCTGTGTTTTATTCAACATACTGTATGTGCAAGCTAACATTGCTTTACCAAGTAGAAGGTTTTTAAGGTATAGGGAAAACATCAAAGAGCAGCTTACCTTTGCCCAGGGGTTACATGATTCTCTGCTGGAACAGAGGAAGCAGTGAACACTTTCGTTTCAGAAAGCTGAAAAAGAGAGAGGGGGAAGGGAAAAGTATTTTAATCTTACGTATGCTCACAGTTAACTGCAAGGACATCTGCAGAAATTCCATCTTGGACATGCACTTTCACGATAAAAAGTCAAGTCAAACTACCACAACAACTCATTATGCTGGAGGACAGTGAGGTGATTTGAGACAGCCAGCATGGCTTCACCATGGCAAAGTCCTCCCTGACCAACCTAGTGGCCTTCTATGAGGCAGTGACTACATCAGTGGACAAGGGAAGAGCCACGGATCTTATTTATCTGGACTTGGTGTAAGGCCTTTGACACAGTCCCCCACAACATCCTTCTCTCTAAACTGGAGAGAGATGGATTTGATGGGTGGACTGTTTGCTGGGTGAGGAATTGGCTGGATGGTTGCATCCAGAGGGTAGTGGTCAGCAACTCCATGTCCAGATGGAGACTGGTGACTAATGGCATCCCTCAGGAGCCTGTACTAGGACCAGTGCTGTTTAATATCTTCATCAATGAAACAGACAGTGGGATCAAGTGCACCCTCAGCAATTTACAGATAACACCAAGCTGAGTGGTGCAGTTGGCAGGCTGAAGGGAGAGGATGCCATCCAGAGGGACCTGGACAAACTCAAGAAGTGGGCCCGTGTGAACCTCATGAGTTCAACAAGGCCAGGTGCAAGGTCCTGCACATGGGTCGGGGCATCAATACAGGCTGGGGATGAAGGGACTAAGAGTAGCCCTGCGGAGAAGGACTTAGGGGTGCTGCTGGACGAAAAGCTGGACATGAGCCAGCAATGTCCACTCACAGCCCAGAAGGACAACTCTACCCTAGGCTGCGTCAAGAGAAACATGGCCAGCAGGTCAAGGGAGATGATTCTCCCCCTCTACTCCACTCTGGTGAGGCCCCACCTGCTGTGCTGCCTTCAGCTCTGGGGTCTCCAGCACAAGAAAGACATGGAGCTGCTCAAGCAGGTCCACAGGAGGCCATGAAGACGACCAGAGGGCTGGAGCCCTTCCCCTGTGAGGACAGGCTGAGAGAGCTGGGGTTGTTCAGCCTGGAGAAGAGAAGGCTCCAGGGAGACCTTATGGCGG